AAATATAGGTCTGTCGTGTTAGTGTATACAATAGTCTCTAACTTCAATCTGATCGGATTGTACTCACGTATACAAGTTGATATTTACGCCATACGTAGGGCAGACGTATGTATGTATATCTTCAAGTATAATCATAGTTTCACTAGCTCGGAACACAAAGACCAAGTAGCTTTATTATTCGGATTTGTATAATTTAGAAGGCTATGTCGGATCGTGTTAAAATAATAAAATCCACAGCGGAGTCCACACACGCGAGGTGTTCGCTTGTCGACTGCTATAAGTGGGCAAAATAAAAGTAAGCATTAGGAAAGGAGGCTTCAACTTCAAGCCTTCAATATTGTATTTAATTATTTATATATCGTGCAATGTACATACATTGTAAATACATACATTTTAAATACTCACATAGCCCTATACCCATACATATGTACATTGTGAGCGATACCATTGTTGTCAATGCAATTAAACATAAATAAATACCCACTGCTCTGGTCTCTGGTGTACATACTATTTTTTTGTTGAAAAATACGTACGATTGCAAGTTTATATTGCAAAATGCAAGTTCGATTACTATATATTTGGGCAAAAGTAATCTTATTCGCAGACATGCAAAAACCGCCTGGCCCGATTTTTAGAAATCGGGCTACTGTCTGTGGCTGTGCTGTGAGAATTTGGCTCAGTCTCGAAATTACCTACACTGGATATAATCATATCACATTTTCATGTCGTAAATTAATCCTGTACCCGGCAAACCAGATAGTAGTTAACAACATATATCAATATTGGTGTTTTTAATTAATACCGACGGATACGTGGCGGTTCATAAAAAGGCGGTAAACTGAAAACAAGGCATATCTGATTGGCGAAGCGATCTGGTCCAGAATCGAACTTACTCTCGTTTCTTAGGCCCAAAAAATATATAATAGGACAGCTGTATCTATACGTTTATTTACGAAGCGTATATTATATTATCTTCCCGCCATTTTATGGGTATGAAATCAGGGGTGTATGAAGTGTGCTCAAATTTCAAACGTTTTTACGGGAACGGAAGTTGCACCTGAAATTAGGTATATAGGGCCGCCTCGAGATATTCTGTTGTGGTTTGCATTGGAGAATAACTGACAGTTTCAAGTGCAGAGACTGTCACTGAGGGCAGCAGTGCAGTGGCTGGCTGTGCGAATGAATCTCCAAAAAAAAGAACGCCAACAACTCAAATAGAAAACAACAACAAACGCCGTAGACACAGCAGTTTGTAGATTCACGTGCAGGCACGCTCACATACATACCTATAAACACGTATACGTACGCGTACGTTCGTCTAATAGCATCATGAGAGAGATTGTCCACGTACAAGTTGGTCAGTGTGGTAACCAGATCGGTTCCAAGGTAGGCATTGGAGTCATGGCTTGGTAGTATGAGCTGCTATCGTGTGTGTATACATGGTATCTAAGTTATAGCCATAGTAAAGCTATGCTCGTGTGGTGTCGTGTGTGCACTACTTAAATATAACTTAGATAACAGTATCAATCAGTATTCGCCTCCAAGTATCCTGATTGTGCGACGCGATATTTGTCCACTCTTCTCCAAGGATTGTGTAGGCAGAAAATGAGACATTTTCGGTGAACCTCCGTGCGATTTGCTTATTGACGTATACCGGTCCGAATACCGGTCAGGGCATTATACAGGCTCTGCTATCTTGATCTAATGTATGGGTTATATTCACATTGCCTTTCAATACTTTTCTTATTAAGTTGTGAGGCGTGTTTGTACATATTGCACTGCCTACGTCCATTCTACGAATAGGTATGGTGTATTGCCTCTGTACCTCACTTTTTGTAAGAGACGTTGTATTGTTGATTATTGACTAGTGTTTCCAGATCATCTATAGTGCACTTGAAACTGGTTGGAAACTCAAAGTGATACTGTTCTCGAGATCAACCCACTGCAAGTCATTTACCACTTTTGCGTGTTTAATAACTTTTGTTCTGGAACCCTTGTTATGTTCTACGGGCAATACAATAGTGGTCTGCTACTTGTGTGATGAATATGGCAAGGGTGCAATCGCAGGTGAACCAGGGTGTTGCATAGCAAATCTGCAAATACACGTCCATCCACCAATATGTATTTAAACCTACCGTTTGTACATTGTATGTATAGCAAGCCACACTTCGCCTTCATCTAATCATATGTATTTGTCACAACTAGTTCTGGGAGACCATCTCCGAGGAGCATGGTATCGACGGCGAGGGTCAGTGGGTCGGAGACAACGAAACACAGCAATTAGAGCGTATTGATGTGTACTACAACGAAGCATCAGGTGGAAAGTATGTACCCCGTGCCGTTCTGGTTGATTTGGAGCCTGGAACCATGAACTCTGTGCGAGCAGGGAAGAATGGACATCTGTTCCGCCCTGATAACTTCGTATACGGACAGGTACATTTGTGAGATCTAGGTGTGTGCACATACCATTACAATTTTAAGTGTACACACACACACACATACACACACACACACACACACACACACACACACACACACACACACACACACACACACACACACACACACACTACAC